CACGGTTATGTTGATAGAGCATTTTTTAAATCTGTAATCAGGGCGCATAAAATGTGTGGGAGAATAACAGGTTTTGTAGGGTTATGAAGCTAGCCCTTGCAGGAGACTGAGAACTCAATGAGGCTACTGGTGAGACCCATTTTCCTTTTTTACTACAATATATTGTTTGTATCGGGTTTGGACATCGATTCATTTTCTCTACACTTCCATTGCCCTGCTCCATTTTACAATCTCTTATGGCTACCACAGAGCCAGGTGTATTACTCGATAATCGCAGATTGGATTTGTGTCAACTTGAATGTATAAAGACAACAAGTAGTTTGTTTTTGAAAGTGCTTTCTTTCTTTTATATAACAATGCCTTAACGTGAAAAATAAACATCTTTGAAAACACAGGTTGCAATGCTTTCTTTAAAGTGAAATTTAACATGGACTAGTAAGCACCGTATAAATTCTGTGATTATCAAGGATATATCACAGACATTATTTCACACTTCACTTAATTCAGCACAGCGCCATTTCGTTTGTGTTTTGTCATACATGGAAGCATGACAGATTCCATAGCAGAGGCGTGCTGAGATCAACAATGATATAAGAAAACAAACAAAAAAGAACACAGGGACATAGACGAAGGGAAACAGGACAAGACGCTCTCTCAACTGAAGTTTATCGAAAAGTCAACTTCAGTTGAGAGTGCACCTTGTTCTGTTTCCCTTCATCTGCGTCCCTGTGTTTTTTTCAGCGCTTTTTTTTTTGTTTGCCATGAACCAACTGGCCCAAATCTCCACTTTATTGCGATATAAGAAAAATGGCAAACCCAGAGGCCAGTTTCAGGCGGAAGAAAACTACAAGTATAAAATTCCCATGGCACAAGCCACTTGACACCTTTGATGAAAAAGCACACACTACATATTGCTGTCCTACAAACATGAGGAATGGCTAGTTTTAGCATATATCTGTCATGCCTGTTGCCAAGAGCATATTACTAACTTGCTTCACTGGTTATAGTGACTCCAATAAACAAATACAGAAGGCACAGTTTTTTGTAAACAAAATATGAACTGAAAAGCATGGACGGAGTTTCTCGCAATGGCAACATTGTTGTAAAGATGTTAGGACAGCAGAACGTCAGGCTTCCTTTAAGCAGTGGCTCACTCATTGTATTATTCACTGTACGGCTAGCCCAGTGTGCGCAGGAACTTGTCCATTAACAAGCACCACATACCAGTGGCACAAAAGAACATATTTCTTGTTTCCACCTGGAGAACAAAACAAAAGCAAAAAAATAAATACTGACTTGGCACATAAAATAATCGTCCATTAAACTAAATTATTCGTGGCTGGACTCAGCGGGACTCGGCTCAGCGGTGCTGGGCTCGGCGGTGCTGGGCTCGGCGGTGAGGGGCTGGACTAGGCTGGGCTGGAGGGGTGGCTGGGCAGGGCTCGGCAGGTCTTGGCTTCGCTGGGCTCGGCTTCTCTCCGCAGTCAGCAGCAGAACGACCTCGACGAGCACGCGGGTCGTGTTTTGGAGTTCCAAGGCCACCACCTGTGTGGCGCGAGCTTGCTCCTGGTTCGCCTCCACAACATCCTCCATGCGGTGGCTGAGGGTCTCGGTGGAACGCAGGAGCTGGAGAGACGGGGCATTTAATTCGCAGTAACAACATATTTCTGGACACCCAGAGGGCGTGAAAACCTTGCATATGTCACAGTTCGGTTTGCATTATGCTTTTGTGGATCTCCATTGCCCTCTGCTGCAGTCCCACTTTCACAGTGGCATCTTTGTTAAACTCGTGTCTATTTAGTCATGTTACGGAGTTTTATGTTTGAGCCAATACCTGGCCTTGCAACTCCACGTCCCGCGCGTCCCTCGTCTCGTTCTGCTGCAACTGGAGAGTTTGGTTGGCGACAACCTGCATGGCAGCCTCGTTGTGCCTCTCCTGCCTCGACATTCGGGGGGTGGCACGAGGCGCCGTTGGCCGCACCCGGGACCTGGCAGGTGGCCTCACATCTGCCAGGAAACAAAGAATGCTTCTGTGATATCACACAATCCTAGTTGACCTCGTAAGAGATCTCACCCCGTGAGGTGGAGGGCACCGGCTCGGCTGCCTGCTGCCCGTGACCTGCCAGGGCACCTGCGGGTCTCCCCTAGAAGAGAATTTATAAGTTTTAGTCAGCTCACAGGACTCGCCTGCATTTTCTAGATACTAGGAGCGGGTTTGTTGAGGCTGCATTCAACTCAGGGGAAACAAAATTCGACTGCTTCAGAGGTGGTGCCATTCATGTCAAGGATTGACTCCCCAAATATGTCTAGTGGCAGCTCGAAAGGTTGCACTTCCCGTTTTTGTAAAAATGTACCTCTGTGATACAGAAATGGAATCTTAAGACAGCGTTCACGCAATACAACTGAGGGTTGCAACAACCACAAAAACAAGAAGAAAAAGGACTACAAAAAGCTACACTTGTTAAGCCTTAGAAACTCCAGTATTACTGCAATAAATATAATGTTTTTTTGTCGTAAGTACTTTTGTTTTAGATTTTGCCTTTACGTAGATGAATTAATCCGCCCTCCGATTCGCTGAATTATAAAAAGTGCCAGCACCTTTAATGCATATATTCACGTTCATATTTATCACATTTCACTGCGGTATACATCTTAGCTCACTGATAATAAAACCCTGCACGGATATTCTCCTCCCTATTGGAATTGAACAGCTACATCTGCAATAGTATGTTATGTTCAATTGTGCACTCACCTCGGCCTCGTCCGCAAAAGCCGGGACGGAAAACCCGGGAGCGCCCAGAACCGAGTCCTCGCCCACCAGCGTCAAAATACGTGCGTATGATGACGCCAGTGAGCGCACCCGGCCGCCTCCGCCCCCTGTTTGCCTGTGAGTAAAGGAAGTAATTCAATAGCTTGGTCCACACTATGAGTAGACTACGCAAATTACCTCGCCTGTTTCGCTAGCTCGGCTGCCCGCGCCCGCGCCTTTGACACCCGCACGGCCCAGTAGCATTTCCAACCTTCCGGCTCCTTCCTCGGAGGCCCGAGGAAGTTGAGCCGGGAGGTTAGCTCGGTCCAGAGACGAACTTTGTCGTCTCTGGACAGCGCCGGGCTCAGCTCAGTTGCACCGCGTACCGGAGAGGTGTTCTCGAACATAAATGTATCGAGTTCCTCCCTCTGGGCCGCGGTCACGCGTTGCCTGATCCCGTCCTCCATGTTGTTTGAACCATAGTCCCTGAAAATTTAAGAAACGCAGGGTGCTGCAAGTCTGGAACCTTTTATTATCGCTCCGCAGCCAATGAGATAGCCGCATTAGCCGATGAGAACGCCGAGGAACCAATCACGACGCAAGAAGAGTGAGCATGACAGGCCAAATCCTCCCGTTTCTTGAGCCGTCATCAGCGACAGTGATTTGAACTAGGCGCTCATCCGCGTCCCGCATATTGTTCTAACCTTTTATGCGAGTTTACTCCATCTAATATTTTCTGGAACCGCTACAAAATCATTTGCTCATTTCAAAAGAACACGTGTATTTTTTTAGTTTGACAAGTTTCTTTAAAATAGAGCAGATGTGAAGGTCGCCGCGGCGAGGGATTGGCTGCCATCGCTTCACTAAAAGCAGGAAATGCTCCTCCTGTTGCCACAGAAACGGTAGGGGGACAGCGTAGCTACTTCCGCTCTGCGGGGTTTGGCTCTTGACGCCTCGCAAGTGAGTGACAGACGCCAATCTTGCCATGTCGTCACGGCGTCAAAGAGGGCGGTTTCGCGGTGCGCGCCGTTGCTTGGTTACGCGCCTCCCGCCGCTACGTCACTTCTGTATCTAGTTTCTCAAAAGTCCAACATAGGTCCCCTGGTCGTCGTTTACTTTGATATCAGCAACAAATTTATGCATACACTGCGCGACAAAGTTAGCACCAACATGACATTGGCGGTTTTTCGCGTTTTGCACGAAATAGCTGCGGGAAGCGTCAAGCCATGGTTTAAATTAAAACCCAAGTTGAGTACTTTCCACCACACCAATAGGTTTGATTAACTCAGTTTTGTACTGAATGAATAGCGGAAAGAACCAGTTATTTCTTCTTCGTACTAACAGTGTCCCATTGTGTATATCGCGGATGATACGAAGCCCAGGCGAGCGCCTAGCTTCGAAGACCTCCAGCGTTATTTAATAGAAAAAGGTGAAAGCGGCATCGCGGTTTCAGCCGCTGTTTAGATTTTGTCGTTACTCCCAGCTGGACAAACCTTCAGTGACCTAAAGCGAATTTCGGCGCTAATTGTAGGGTCAAGCTTGCGGTATTTCCTGACAAAAGGCGAAACCGAGCACGGCAAATAATACCGGTTAGCAAGCTGAGCGGTCATTGCCACAGCGTTGAATGATATAGTCGCGGAATGGAAAATGATACGTGGTTTTCAATTTATTTAATCGAAAACTACTACTTGTCAAAACGCGCATTTCCCCTTTTGGCTCAGCGATCGTTTTCTGTCCTAGTGGGGATTAACTTAACAGCTGCTGAAATGCCGCTCGTGCACACAAAAGCCTCGATGTGCAGGTGGCAATAAAGAACGTTCTAACAGCAACTCTTCTTGCACCGAGTATTTCTAAGACACGAGTGATTTCGCACTTCGTGACGTCACGTCCACAAACAATATGGCTGAGCTGTTGTCGAGACTAGTCGAGACCATCATATGATACCATCGAGACGAAGCGCAGCCGGACCGCTGCCCCCTTTCAGTTGATTATGGGCCTTATTTAACAGGTAAAAACGATTTTATTTGTCTAGACTGTAAATTAACAAGCACAAACCAGTGAGAAGAGAAGAAGGGGACAGGACAGGGCGCGATTAATTACAACTGACAATTTAATACAACATGTAGAGAAAGACAACGCGGAAGTGAAAAAGAAGAAGATAAAGATAGAAATAAACTCTGAGCTGCCACTAAGACAACATATTTAGCTTTAGAAATCGAAATAGATATTTTTAAGACACTATTGTAAGACAATGAAGTTGTAATGATAGGGATGCTGAGAGCAACAATGTCGGTACCCCGAAGAGAAGAAGACGCACACTACAGTTCATGACGGGCGTCATGAGCAGTTGATTCACCGGTAGGCTCTGAACCCTATCTCAAATACTCTACTCAAGATACTGTATCTTAAATACTTTTTGGAGTATCTTGGTATCTTGCAAATATCATTGATGGAGAGTATTTAATACTCAATTTTAATTACAATTCCGAGTATCTTGTACACATTATCTTAAATACATTTTTGACATTCCGCCATTTTTCGAGTTTTTCGGTATGAAGTTGATGGGCGTGGCACGAGCAAACCTGAACATTCTTTCGAGCAACCGAATCCTATTGCTAGCTCCGATTAGCTACGGTGACTTTAAAGGGCAACTCCGCTTCATTTTTGATGTTTAGAAAACTATGTAGCCATATTCAGTATCATATAGGAAGACCCCATGTCAAATATTACGATCTAATTCCGTCTATATATTTAATGAACTGGCCAGCAAACCTTCAAGTGAGTCAAGTCGCCGAAATCTGCCAACTCTAGCGTGCGACGTGAGGCGCAATCGTCAGCGCAGTCAACGCGACGGAGTTGGAGTGGTCAACGTTGAGCCACTACGTCAAAGGCATGACTACGCCATTCTCACGTTTTCTTTGTTTTTACTTGTCAGAGCGAAATTGAACGATGACGTCATGAGTTTCTCCTCCGGTGTTGGCTGAACGGCGTCAACGTGATAACCGTAACGCGGATGCGCTAGTTTGCGCTGCCGTGCGCGCTTATCGGTCTGTTTCTCCGCTCCCCTTCTCCTCTTTCGTCTTTTCCCCTTCACCCTCTCCCCCGGGCCATCATCGTCCACGCCACGCGAAGCGACCTGCCCGCGTTGCGTGTCCTGTAAAGCGCGATCCAAACCAACGCTTCTTTTTGCGCCTGTAGGTTGTGCGGCTGCGGATGTGACGCATTTCGTGGCGTTTTTGCTGTTTCCGGGCGCGCTTTCTGAGTCAGAACCGTGCGCTTTGGTTTGGACGGGCGAAACTTCGGGCGAGCGCGCACGCGCGCACGCAGGCACGAGCGCACAAGCAAGGTGCAACTGCGACAGACTGGCCGGCCAGACGGCGAGAGAAAGAGAGAGAGAGAGATCGCGTTGTCATGTTGGAAGAGAATAAAAGGGGGGGAGGAGAGGGCAGCCAGACGGCGAGAAACGCGGAGCCGGAACTAGCTTGCCCTCCACCGATTGGCCGGGACACAGGAGCGCCCTACTACGTCACCGCGCGTTTTTGTGCGCGTTGAGAAAGAAGTTGAAATCAACCAACTTTCTTGTGCGCGCCCGGAAGGAGCGAAGAAGCGGCGCGACGTCACGAAAATACGTCACATCCGCAGCCGCACGACCTACAGGCGCAAAAAGAAGCGTTGGTTTGGATCGCGCTTAAGGCCCCGGTATACTGAAAGGTAGCGCAAACCATTGTCTGAAAGGGGCAAGGAGGTTATAATGGGCAGGAGGTGGCGTCCCTATCCCCAATGCATGGAGCGAAATGTAACGGAAGTAGGCGTGGCCACGAGCCGCAACGAGCATTTCTTGACCAATGGGAAGCCTAGTGAGTGGACGCCGCCATTAATTTCGGTGCAAACAACCGCGTGGCCATGACATTTCCGTGGCAACGCGATTGTGTGCACCGAAAGTAAGGGCGGCACCCACTGTTATTTGAAACAGCGCTTAACGGGAGAGATGAGATTATTATAAACGAACGCCTGGTTGCCCAGCAGAAAGTAAGTGACTAGAATCGAGACGCTCTAGACGACGCACCGTGAAGGCCTTGGCGGTGCGCAACGCATTTTTTAATAAACAGCAGCAGCAGATCGCACGGGCGCGCATGCAAGCCAGGAGCGCACAGAACAACGGGCTCGCGCTTCCAGTTCTGAATTCGCTCGCACATAATGTGGAACTAAGTACTCGCGCTGCAAAGCATTTGCATCGAGGACGCCCACGGCGGACGCCGACCGCATCGAAGGCTAGCCTCGTGAAGCACACGCCGGAGCAGATTAGAAAGCAGACTAACCGCCGGTGCGCTACCCCACGGCCTCGGAACGGGTGCGCAAGGCAGTCTGGGACGCCTCTTCCGGCTTCACTCAGGCTGACGTCATGCCGGGTCCTGTCTGTTTAAACGTCCTTGGAAAGGGGGGAGAGAAATTTCTCGTCCTCGATGCCCTTTCCCTCTCAAAAGTTCTCTTTCCCCTCACTTCAATTGGATCTGGCGCGACACGTGACCGTTGATCAAAAAAACAGTTAGGGCGCAGGCGAGCTCGTGTAAGTTTACCATTTTTAGACCACCTGAGACTGGGTGGAAGAAACAACACGACGACGCCTCAGTTGAGACGTCATCGTGTTTCTTCCACCCAGTCTCAGGTGGTCTAAAAAATGGTAAACGTGACCGTTGTCTTCCCATAATTCCGCGCGATTCCGTCGTCTGCTCGAAACCAACGCCATCACTGGGCGAAGCGTAGCGGTGGCTCTGTTGTTCGCGGCCGGGCCTTAGGTGTTTTTTTTTTTTTTTTTTTTTTTTTTTTATTTTGCCACAACCTCGGCCGCAACGCGATGCCATCATGCTGCGCTGTAGATTGCATAAACAGCATTGCCAAAGGAAAGAAGCTTTTTTGCCGTCCCGACGGGAAAGGAAAATCTTCAACGGCGAAAACAATGGCTCCACCGGATCGGTCGGAAAAGTTTCGAGTGCCTCCGAGGGAGAATTTGCGAGGTAAATCATTGTCCAACTCTGAATTGTATTACCTATCTCTTTCAGTCTCGCCGATGAAGATCGCCTAGTATGCTCATGAGACGAGACAAACACGGAACTATATTACTGACACAAAGGACTTTGAGACGTCTTTTATCGCGTATATGATATCGAAAACCGACTCGCTCGCTCTTAGCTCGCTTGCATTGAGTCGGCCGAGTTGAGAACGATGCGTGAGAGACTCGGGCGCCACTAAAGTAAAGAGGGTTGTAGTGTTACCGCGTGCATCTTGCGTTAGTGAAAGGAGAGTCACCAACGATCGCGCACCTCGCGTCTTTGCTTGTGCAACATATTTCCGCGATCGGTGCTTCACAAATGGCAACTAAAAATATGCGATGCTGCATTTAGTTTACAGGATCACTTCACGAACGATCAGTTTGTGCCAGTGATCTTGGCAAAGACTGGCCTCAAGAAACTCAAGCTATACGCAGATTCTTCCATTTTTTTCACACCGACCTCTTCCGAATGTGCAATATTTTGCCTTGTAGCAATAAATATTTTCCTGTCTTCATCTTTGTATGTGATTTGTTTTTTTGTGATTAATAAAACATCAATTAATGACAATAAAAAATTGCTCTTGTATTTAGAAGGCTTTGCTGAAGGATCTCTCTGTCCTCGTTCTGTAACTCACGCAGTAAGGTACGCCCGCGACTGTGCGTCAAAGCTTATACGCTTTGAGAGTGAACTCAAGGGCGTACCTTGCGTGTGCGAACGTCAAAACACTCATATATGTGATAAATGAGAAACGTGCTGGCAAGGCAACCGCGAGCCCGCGCTATTTTTCATTTTGACGGAGGGGTACAAGTGAGTGTATTTGATGGGTAGTTATATGCCCGAGGCGCGCAAATAGGCAGACGTCACATATTCCTCCGCGCACATGTTCACAGTTCCAGGTAGTATTCGAAGCTTATAAAATGGGTATGAAGTAAACCAAGCTGCTGGTTTGACAAAACGATCGGTGATGCTAAACATTACCGAAAAGTCCTGTTTTACACGCCCGTAGCGGTGTCATTAATACCCCTGTCAGACGGGCTAGATTAGTGTCACTACAAGCGAGTGCACTTCGCCCTTAGTGTCATTTCTGTAGTGTGCCACACGGCTCCTTCCCGAGGAACACACTCGGCTTGGAGTGAGTTTGACGAACTCACTTCGCTCGATCGAGTACGTGACATCGATAGGAGTGTTTCAACAGTAAAACATAACAACACAGAAACAAAAACGTGGAGTAAATTTTATTTTACAAAGAATAAGAAATTCCTGGAAAAGAGGACATGTAGAAGAGTGGCATTGCAAAACAAATAGGGGGGTGGACGTTGAGTTTGCGCTGATCAGAAGCAAGATTAGCGCCGCTGTGAATTGATAAAAGACGACGACAAAGTCAGTCATTCCAAGGCTATCTTCGTTAGCAGAAAAGGAGAGCCTACTTTTGTTTCAGCATGCAGCTCTTCGAGACAACACGATGATCATGATCTAATTAGGCAGCGTCAGGACCTCCTCGTAGACTTCCGTGGGACGAAGCGGAACGCCAAAGTTGGATATGCTTCATTCTTTATCTTGGCTTGCGGTGATCGATCAGCATCATCCAAATGGCGTAAAAATTGTTCATTAATGAAACGTTGTTTTAGAGCGCAGCTCTTTGGCGCCCGTTTCCGGGGTGAGCGGCGTCGGCGAAACCGCGCGTTGCATTATGGGACGTTTCCTATAATGACATCACACGTGATGTCACGTGTGACGTAGCGAGGGTAAAATTTTCGCGCTTCATGTGACGGGAGAGCTTTTCGCTAAATTTAGCGGGAAACCTTTTGCTAAATTTAGCGGGACGTTTCCCATAGTGGCGTCACACGTGACGTCACGCGTAAAATTGACCTGTGACGTCGCATGGGACATTGTGTATCGTCACGAGTCACGTCACGAGGACAAAATATGCCCGCTATATTTGGCGGGAAAATATTTCGCTGTTTGGAGGGAAATTTTTTTGCTAAATTTAGCGGGAAAATTTACCCTCGTGACGTGACACGTGACGTCACACGTGTAATTTCACGTCACGTGGATAACGTCAATTTAACGGGAAAATTTCGCGTCACGTCACACGCCGATTGAGCGGGAAAATTTCTCGGCTAAATTTAGAGGAACTTTTTTCCGCTAAATTTAGCGGGCAAATTTTCCCTAAATTTAGCGGCAAATTTTGCGAAAAGTTTCTTCTAAATGGGAGGGGAGGAGAAGAGGAGCATGGGAACGTACGGAGAGGGAGGAGTTGCATACCCTCCCCTCCGTACCCTCCTCTCCTCCTTCTCAAGAGCTGCGTTCCAATTCTGCATTACAGAGAATTGCAAACGTCTTCAATTTTTTTTAACGTGTGTTTATTAAGGGGTATCGGTGGTCGAGTGGGCTAGCGCACACCAGCTCGGAGCACGTGGAGCGAAAGCTCGCGCTGCAGAACCTAGGGATCCTGCGTTCAATCCCCAGCCCTGCCCGAAGAACACACTTTCGATGAAGTGAGATCGGGGAGCACACTACGCTCGCTCCGTCAGACCGAGTGCGTAATCTCGATGGCACTGTTCAATGAGGAAAAATAATAGAAGAAACTAATTAACGCTACGTAGAATTAGTAATATTTCGATAGGAGTAATATTAGATGCGCACTTGTTTTCTGTTGGCAAGAAAGTAGTGCATTGTAGAAAAACAAGCGGCTAATCTAGTTTCCAGCCTTGGCCCCTTCGCGACAACCAGCAACGTCCATTTCTTTTTTTTTTTTTTTTTTTTTTTTGAAGAAGCGATCGCATTTTTGAAGAAGCGATCTGCGAGCTCGTGACTGCGACTGCGACGTGTGCTGCGACACGAAGCCTGAAAAAAAGAACGTACAACGAGCACCATGGACGGAGCAGGAGACTTTTGCATTGATTAGGGTGTGGGAGGACCACCTGGGAGATCTGCGTCGCACGAAGCGGAATGCTAAGGTGTTCGTCGCCATTGCTGAACAATTGTGTGCGATAGGCTTCAAAAGGAGCAAAAAATAAGTAAAAAAAAAAAGATCGAGAACCTCGGCAACAAGTACAGGTTGGTGTTGCTTGTTCTATGAAAGTTACCTCTTTTTTCAATCTCACGTAATAGTAATATGATGCCCGTTTCGTCGTGTCAAAATTCAGATCATTACAGAGCAACACGATTTCGTGGGAAACGACGCATGGCTTGCACACGATATTACCTTCTATTGCTACTGTCAATGCTTCGTGACCCGAGAGTGTACTTTGATAGCTATTTTTCGTTTAGCTGCCATGTCACTCCATTGTCTGTTCTGCAGTTGGAATGCTAGGAAAGATAGCAAGTTTAAACAGATACTTCGTGAGTCCCGTTTGCTTAATTTGCTTTTTACAGCGAAGCTGTTTTGTGGCTGGGGTTCCGTGGAGTTTTCGTGTGCGTGACCGAACACTGTACGTTCGCACCGCCACACGCGCACGCCCTTCCCCGTTTGAAAGATTCGAAGCAAATAACCAGCATAAGGCTTTGACGGATGCCCGTGCAAGATGCCATTTGGTTTAGACGTTTGCTTTATACCAGTTACTCCTGCAGACGCCGGCACGTGCGGCGCGTGGCACACCATTCCCTGCTTTCTCCTTGATGCTTGGGTAATCACCAATAACTCTATTCAGTAGATTAATTATCAATACGTACTGTTTTCAAGATCAGTATACTCTCAGGTAGATAATAAGTTTCTCAAAGATTTGCCGCTGTGCGACCCGCGTCGGCCAAGTCTACGCTTGCACCGCCCTCTTCACAGCAACAAACAATAATGTTATCTTTATTTAACCCTGGAGGGCTGCGGCACCACAAAAAAAGGCGATTGGCCGATACCTGAGGCCTATGGTGCCGCACTACTACAACTTTTATGTACTGAGATTTAAATCTACCTGCTCGTTACAACAAAAATGCAAACATGCATGAATAATTTCAGTCATAGAAATCTCGATGTTTTTTAAAACTATATGCTAATTTCAAATGCAAACTGCTCGAGATGATTCACCATCTTTAGTTCTGCATGTTTTCTTTTAGTATGATTGTCATTTGCATTTTTATTATTTATAGTTGAGCAAGTTTTATGCGTGTATTGCTATTTTTACTTTTGCCACATTACAGGTTGCTTACGGGCACAGAAATACAGACATAATGATGAGTTATTGTCCACTTTGCTTGTAGGCGTTTTAGCCGGAAGAAGACAACAGGTGCAGGGGGGATAAGGTGGAGATTCTACTGGAACCTGCAACGTTTCCTGGGCTCCTTACCTGCAAACGATGCCAGTCCCATGGAGGAGTCCGTATGTAGCGGAGGTGACACCGTTGAGCATGTGAGTGCATTCCTGCAGCAACCACTTTTCTAGGAGCACACAAACCCACTGAAATATCAACTTATTGTGAATATAAGGGTAGATTGCTTGGCTAGTTGGTTGTTCAACGACATGATTAAAAAACGCCACGAAAGGACAGGATAAAAGTAGGAGCATACAGGACACGCACTTCATCTGGACGAGTTTTTCCCAGTGGGGAGGGGCATCATGTAAATCTTGCACTACGCCGCATGTAGCACAACATTCAACTATACTTTTCAAAACTGGAAAACAGGTTCCTGTTAAGCGTTAATATTGATGGACATAATTTTGCTGCTTTGATGCACATATGTACTCTTCTAGGTTTTTCAAGAAATGGTCAGCGGGAACTCAAGCGAGGACGGAGAGCGGTCCCCTCAAGATGGTCTCACCAGTGAGCCTGCATCACCTGGATCGCAAGCCCCAGCTGAAGAGTTTCCAAACTCATCACCCTCTACACCCACCCCAAGACAGAAAGCAGCGGAGAGGCCAGCAAAGCCAAAGAAGCATCAGGCTTTACACGCAACCTTCTTGGCGCAGCTGCTCGAAGAACAGCGGCAGCTGCGTTATTCGCAGGAAAAATCTCGCGAAAAAGAACTGGCTATACGCGAACGGCAGCTAAAGCTGCTAGAGCGTGCAGCAGAGAGGGAAGATCGTTTGATCGACGTCCTCACTCAACTTCAGACGAAATAAAGCAAAAGCCTCACAGCTTCACACCACTGTGGCATTTATTTGTTCGATTGCATATATGTCAATGGTCTGTGTTGTCAATTGGCCTCTCTACTTGTGCCTAGTGTAGGCCGAGCCGCTTCCAGATCCGTTGTTAACTTTCTGCTGTAGCTGCTCCCGATGTACGCTGATCCCGCTTCCAGAAGTAGTCTGCCAGTGCGTCTCTGACTTCTTCGCCTCTCCGATTACAGACGTCAGTGTTGCGAGCCGGCTGTGCATAGAAAGAGTCAAGCTCACATGCTCCCATGCTGCTGTTCAACTTTGTCTCTGAATTCCTCGCAGATGTCATGAAGTACACATGAGTCCCTAATTGCTCGCATTGCGCTTTGCAGGTGGCATTCCATTCTCTTCATAATAACTCGGAAACGAGTTTTCACTCCGCCAAAGGCATTTTCGGCTATTCTTCTCGTCTTTGAGAGGTTGTAGTTGAAGGAAGCTTCCCGTGTCTCGCTTTAGCCATTTGCGTACGACTTTAGCAGGCGTGTAGTCAAAGGGAATGCTTGGTCGCACAAGATAACTGGCTCTAGAACAGTGCCTTCAATCACTAGCACAGGAGACCGGAAGTGATCACCGTCAACAAGTGTGCACAGTCTTGAACGTCCGTACACGTTGGCGTCATGGCACCTGCTGGGGCTTCCCAAGTTTATGTACCGGAAACGATACCGGTGGTCAACCAACGCCAAAAGGATGATACTATACCTGTGTTAAGAAAGAAAAGAAAAAAAAATACCAATAAGCATAAAGATGGCATGTTTCAGAAGTAACGAATAGAGTTTAAAATTATTAATTCCTGTAGGAACAAGAAGCACAGTTTAATTATTTTTTACATCAACTTCAAAATAATTACAATGACTCAGGAGCACTACACCTATACTTATTTTTTTTTATTCAATTGGATGATGTCAGTAAGCACTTTATATCAAGGGCCTCTCATTTTTCTTCCAAATTCGTAAACATATCGCAAATTGCAGTCTGTAGACCAATATTATTCCTAGCAAACAAGTAATGCGGGAAAAGCATAAAGAAACACCTACCACCCCTTGTAGTTGTGGTAATCCGTTGCATGCCCTTTGGGTGGCGACACTGGAAAGTGGCAGCCGTCCAGGTCGCCGACAGCGTGCGGGAGTCCAAAAACAGCGAAGAACTCGCGCATGTGTGCCGTCATCTCGTCCGAACGCACCATCCGGAGCCAGACGTTTTCCAGATTCTGAATCACGGCATCGTAGAAGTCTTTGTACAGCATGTTTACGGTTGAGCGACCGATTCCGAACAAGTGCGCGATTGTCCTGTCTTCGGCGCTCGAGCACAAACGGTACAATCCTACTGCCACTCGCTTCTCAAAAGAGATTGGCTCCCTCATATTGGTTCTCTCTCGCTCCAGAAAGCACCTGCATGACTCCATTAGAATTCTGAAGGTGGCAGGAGAGACGTTAAAGGCTTGCTTGAAATGGAACTCGCCCAAAAGGGGCAAGGTGTATTCGAACCACCGTACGTTTATCTGGAAAGTCCACCGTTCTCGACTGATCACGGGTAGGTTGTCGGTCATGAGAGCGGCTATGGTGAAGGCATTGGCCTGCAGCTGCTGATCGATGTCACTTGAAATTCTTGCCTGTGCGTCGGCATCCAGGTACAGCTTTCTTTCTTTCTTTCTTTCTTTATTGTTTCTTTTCCCGATCGGGTCGGGAGGTGGGCAGAGACTAAAGGCGTGATGCCTGACGAGGTCTCTGCCCCCCTTACAGCTCTAGCACAGTATTGGTAAATAATGCAAAACGTTCACGCTAAAAATGACCGTCAAGACAACACGATGTAAACACAGGCATATTAAAGCAAGTGAAACATGCAATCACACAATAGTTTTGTCAGAAAAGGTTAAAAGTCTGAGCGAAATACATAAATACCAAACATAAAATGTCAAATATGAATATGATTTATGAAATTGCATAGGTTTCCTAACACAGTGTCACTGCCCACCAAGATTTCTTCTAGCTTTTTTTTTAAATTGTAGTAGATTGTATTTAAAATCAACTAATCCCTCTGTACTATTTAATATTTTGCCGACTTGAAAACGTTTTGTTTGTCTCCCGTAATTGGTGCGTATTTTAGGAGGTCGTCTATGGGTGTGTCGAAGTGTGTAATGTTTACTGTCATCTGGCGAAATCATATAAAGGTTTTCGTTGCGTATCTTTTGTAATAGCTTATAATAATAGATTTGATTGACTTTGAGTACGCCATGTTTATTGAAGAGTGGACCGGTGGGGAGATCTTGGGCGTTACCTTTATGGCTTTCAAAAAGTCGTAAGACTTTTTTCTGTATGACGGCCAGTCTATTATAATTTGTGGTCGATGTCGTTCCCCAAACTAAAATACAGTAATAAAGTTTTGAGAAAAATAGCGAGTAATACAAATTTTTTTATTTAGCCAAAGGGGTATAAGAGTTTGCATCTTGTATATACATCCAACGGCTCTGGATAACTCGGTGCTTAGCATATTTATGTGGGTATTTCAATTTAATTCGCGATTGAACCACACGCCGAGGAATTTTTGTTCGATAAACTCCTCTATAATCTCATTTTTAAAACATATAGTCACCTTAGTGTTGTCGGGTTTATTTAGGGGACAAAAAAATTATATATTTTCCTTTCTTTGCATTTAGTTGTAATTTATTGTTTTGAAGCCATAATGAGAGATGCTTCAAATAGCTGTTTGCCATTGATTCTAGGGATGCTTTAGAAGCTGAAGTAAAAAATGCATTAGTATCGTCCGCATGGATGACAAGCTCTGGGGAGTTTGGAACATTTGTGATATCGTTAACGTAAAAAAGAAATAATAAAGGTCCTAGTATAGACCCCTGTGGAACCCCGTGCTTTATTTTGAGTATAGTTGAAGAGATGTTATTGGTGTGTACGAATTGTGAACGATTCTCAAGGTAGTTTTTTTTATTAAGGTCAGGGCAACCCCACGTATGCCATATTGTTGAAGTTTGATTAGTATGTCGTGTTGAATAGTGTCGAATGCTTTTTTGAAATCTAGAAAGAGGCCTAAGTTGTACAGTTTATTTTCAATGTTATTTATAATTCTATCTTTTACCTCAACTAGTGCTTCTTCTGATGATTTTGATTTTTGAAAGCCGTACTGACATTTATTTATAACATCGTGTTTAGACAAAAAGCCCTCTAGCCTAATTTTTATAACCCCCTCGAAAACTTTTGAGAAAATAGGCAAAACCGAGATTGGTCTGTAGTTCTGTAGAAGATGCTCTCCTCCTTCGTAGATCGGGGTAACTCTCGCAGCTTTTAGTTCGTCTGGAAATATGCCAGTTTTTAAAATGCGATTTATTATATGTGACAAGAGTTTACTTATTTGTTGAGAGACATATTTGATAGGCTTTGATTTGAAATCGTCTACCCAACAGCAGCGTTATTTTTTATTTTATGTATAAGCTTTTCCACTTCGTATAATGTTGTTGGTGATAGCATTATCGTATTCGATAGGCTAGTTGTGGTCTCTGTGGCACAGCGTTGCGAAGAAGTTTCATGGGACTCGTAATTTCGAAAACTGGCGTCTGGTGAACCAACGTTGACGAAGTGCATATTCATCAGATTCGTCATTTCCTGGCCACTTACTTTTTTTTTCCATCGACATCAATATTTTGTATTCCTTGTACGCGTCCCTTCCTATCAGTGATTGTGTTTACAGTTTCCCATATCTTTCGAGGGTCATTGTACACACTTGAAAATATGCTCTGATAATGTTCTGACTTTGCATTCTGCAGATCGGTGTTCAATTTATTCCTTGTTTTTTTTATATTCGGTGAGAAGGCTTTGGTTTCTACAGTTAACAAAATTGTGGTACATTTTATCCTTTTTTTTAATTCGTCTATATAAGTCATTGGTGATCCACGGCTTTCGGACTTTGTTTTTACGTCTATTTACTTGTATATGCGGAAATGCAGTATCGTAACAAATCTTAAATTTTCGAGAAAGGTTTGCGTAAGCAAGGTTTGGGTGGTGTTCTAAAAGGACGCTTTCCCAGCATGTTTGATCGATCAAAGCGCGAAAATTCTCCAGTGATTCGTCGTTTATTCGTCGGTAGGAGTAGATTTCACGATCAGCTGTATTTTTGCCCCGTGAGAAAAATGTTAGAGAGAAAACTGGCATGTGGTCGCTGATATCATTTGTAAATACACCAGACGTAACTTCCCTAGCGTTGAGGTTAGTTATACATATGTCAATAGAACTTGATGTTTCCAAGGTCACTCGGGTGGGCAGTGTCACGGTGTTTGAGCAACCATAAGTGAATAACAAATTATTGAACTCGATTGCATAGCTATCACATTTGAGTAGTTCAATGTTTGTATCGCCCATAATAAAAAATGGTTTGGGGAACGAACAAAGAAAATTTAGCAAACCTTCTAAAAAGCAGAGAAAAACTTCTTTGCTACTTGCAGGGGGTCTATAAATAACCACAATGGCAACAGTTTCAAATTCTATGACAAGGCACTCGACGTCAGCTGTAATCATGGAATAATCCTCAACAACATACCATGACATATCCTTTTTCAAATAGATGGCAACGCCCCCTCCTCTTTTACTTTGTCGACCCAAACTGGCACATTTATAATCACTAAAGTAAGGTGTCTCAGCATGATCTGGAACCCAAGTTTCCGAAAAGTAATGCGTCAAAGCGAACATTCAAAGAATCAAGAAATATTTTCAAGTCGTCTCGTTTGTTGCTGATACTCCTTGTATTGAAGTGAATTGCAGAAAAGCTATTTTCTAAACCACTAAAAGAAAAATTAAACGATGTTTCGTCAAAATATCTGCATTCTATCGTATGTGTTTCAGCCATTGAAAATACAAGATTGTGCTTGAAGTTATTGGCATCGGTAGATCGAGACTACCTTATCATTTTGGCTACGTCCTCCAAGTCAGTGATTCTGATAGCCGTTGATTTATCGTTTTTTCGCGCGTATCCCAGATTCCGAT